ATCACCTGAAAATGAATAGGTTATTAACTAATGAAATAGCTAAAATTAATTATTGGTTATAAAAAAAAATTTGTGTTACCGATCTTAATTATATCAGCAACTCGTTGCGTAGTAAGAATAGCACCAATCGGGAATCCATTGGCTAATGGTTTAGCTAATGTTAAAATATCTGGATGACAAGATTTTGGATAATTTTGATGTGCCCATAATTTTCCAGTACGACCAAGACCACACTTGATGAATTTAAAATAAATTAAATGTTATTCATTTCCTGTAGCTTAAAAAAGTTTTTAAAAAATAAACGTTAGGATTATATACCTGAATTTCATCAAAAATTAGTAAAGCTTCAACTTCATCACATCGTTTTCTCAAAGCTTCAATAAATGGAACAGTAGCTTCCCACACTCCACCTTCACCTTGAATAGGTTCGACAATTACAGCACAAGTTTTATCGGTTACATATTCATTAATCTTACTAATATCATTATAAGGTATAGTTACAAATCCTGGCACCATCGGCGCGAATGGACTTTGATATTTAGGTGCAGGTGTAGCTGACAACGATCCAAAAGATCTACCATGAAAAGCATTTGAAAATGACACAACACCATATTTATTCATATTTAATTCTTCATTTGTACTATTACTTTTTTTACCAACATATTTTCCCCATTTTCTTGCAAATTTTAATGCACCTTCATTCGCTTCAGTACCAGAATTGGTGAAAAACACTTTAGATGCTTCAAATCCACCTCCATTACGTGTAGATTCAACTAACAACTCTGCAAGTTCTCCAGCATATTCATTATGATATAGATTACTCAAATGAACAAGTTTTAATGCTTGTTCATGAATTACTCTTGCCAATTCAGGATCGGAATGACCTAACGCATTCACTGCTATACCAGCTGAGAAATCAAGATATTCTCTATTTGCTAAATCATAGACTCGACAACCTTTACCATGTGAAAGGACAATAGGTGGACGAAGATATGTGTTAATGGTGTATTTTTCTTGTCTTGCAAGCAATTGAGACGTTATTGGAGCTGTTTCTGAGTCAGCATGTGTAACCTGTATATTTTAAAATAAATGTGATATTCAAAAAAAATCCTAGATGTATATTTTATCTATGCAAAATAGTCCTCAAATGCCAATTTGAAAAAAAAAGCATACATTTTTTAAGACTGAACTAAAGAGTACACTTAAAGAAGGTACGCAATATAATGGGCAATAGAAGTTTTACTGTACCTTCTTTTGCTCGGTCATGGTTTTAACTTTAGTCAAAAGTTGAGTTGTGGTACTATATGTTCGCAACTATTAAAACGAGTAAGAATTAATAAATAAAACTGCATATTCTCGAAATGTTAAAGTAGATACTACCCACATTAATTATATTATTATCGCCAATTCTACAACCAAACCTACTACTTCTACCAACTATC